CAGAAAAGCTTCATAAAGCTGAGTTCATAGCCTACTAAAAATAAATCTTTATATTAGAAGAGAACACAAAATCAATCAGTGTGTAAAAGTATTTGGATTAGTGGTCTATTTTCCTTCTGGGGCTTTTATCCATATACTTTGCAGAGTAGTATATTTAGTTTTGTGAAATTAGTTTTAATTGAAATTGAGATCAAAAACATGAAACAAATAATTTTGTGTACTTGCTGTAATATTTTGACCAGTAGGACTGTTTGCTTATTTATTTGTAATGACTGTTCTGAATACCTGGGAAGAGTAAATAAAAATCTGAAAGGCGCAGTAGGGAAAGAAACCATGAAAGGAAAAGAAACAGATCAAAAGGAGGGAACCATTGAGATGAAGAAACAAAAGAAAAAAGGAATGAAAGAAATATGTGTATATACTCAGGATAGCTTGGATAATTGTACTGCTGATTTCTGCTGGTCTATTTTTTTTTTTTTTTCCCCCTAGACTCATAGTGATCCTCCTGTTTTCAGTCTCCCAAATGCTGGGATTACAGGCGTGTGCCACCATGCCCAGTCTCAATTCCTGTCTCAGTGTGCCCTGGGGGTGGGGCCAGCAAGGCAGGGCAAGAATTGAACCTGGCCTCTGTGCTCTGCCTAAGTAGACACTTTAGTCCGCTGAGCTATCAGGCCAGCCCTTCTGCTGGTCTACTGAAAAGAGCAGTTAATACTTGAATTTTTTTCTCTCTTCGTTTTAGTTTTTCTTTTCTTTTTTAAATTGATTTTGCATGCTTTTATGTGGTAATCTGAGCAACTAATTTGAAAATAACAATACTCAATTTAACAACCATTGTTGAATTCCCATCATTTTGTTTTGTGAAATTCTGTAGTTTTTGTAGCTTTTTTTTTTTTTTTTACTATTTCTCATTCTCTTTAAAAATAAAATAATAAAAAAGAAATTAAAAAGAAATATATGCACATATATAATATTACTTTTCTAGCACTAGAGATTTTAATTAATCTAAATTAATTGAATAAAATGAAAATGACCACAACACTACGTAGTTTTCTGAATGCCTCTTAAATAGATTGGAATAAGGTGTCCAATAAGCAATGTTTAAGACCCATTTGGAGAAAATATTTTAAAATACAAGTTAGTTTACATTTTCTGATAAACCTATTACCCCTGGAACTGACTTTTCTCAGGTTTTCCTTAATCACATGGACCTGAGTATGGAAGCTGTATTTGTTTTACTGCTTTCACTTTTTAATTTTATTTTTCTTTTCTTACTGTGTGGAGGCTGAAGTCACTCTAAACCTGTTTTTTTTTTTTCTTATATACTCATTCCCTTTGGAAGTTTATCTACCTCTACTCTATATACTGCTTCAGGAAAGTAATCAGAACCCTGGCACATCGAAGGGCTTGCAAAACTGTGCCAGTGTCATCCATCTGCCTTCTGTATATACAAAAAACAATGTGATTTACCCTGGCAGTGCATGGATTTCTCACTCACTACTATGCTGTTGCAAAGAAAAGTCTTTGATCTCTGTCTGTATTGATGAATTAGGCATCATCCATTCCTATTTACAAAACAACGTTGAATAAGCCTGGCATGACCTTTTTTAGTAGTATTTTTCTAGTTTTGAACTGAAGAATGATGTTTTCCTGTGTGAACATCATGCAAATCTCACTATGGAATAGTCCAAGAAAATCATGGTGCTGCAGAGAAGCATTTTCTCACGTTCTGTGGAGCTGTAGGTTATTTTATCCACAAGTGTCATTCACAGTTGTAAGTCATCCAAGTGGCAGCGAGTCACTGCTCATTAAGGGGCAGCTATAGATTGCTGCTGTTTTTCTCTCAGCCATATATTCTGAGGTACATAATTACCATCTGTAGTTTCAAAATTAATCTTAAATATTTCATTTTATATGCAGGTTTAATTTTTCTCTTTTGGGAGTCAGCAGATTGAAGGACTACATCAAATGCCGGTATCCCGAAGTTACAGAATGGCTAAATAAAAACTAAAAAAAAAAAAAAAACATCAATTATTGTAAATTGTCTGTTGATGAATAGCAATTTTCTAGCTTGAACTTTCTGATAAGCTTGTGCCTATGCCCCACCCCCAGGCCAGTGCTCTTTGCTCGCTGTCCATGGTGGTGGGGCTCAGGCCCTCAGGCTGGGTTAGTTTTTCTAGCGGGTCTTTGCTTCATCCTGTGATTGGATAAGAATTCTGCAGGCCAGCAAAGCAGGCTAGCTGCCTTATTACTCAATGTTTCTTCATTGTAAATGGGAGAAGTCTGTCCTGAACTAAGTGTCCCTAGGAATCATTTATTTCTCTTAGTGAAGGTTGTATTCCGCCATAAGGGTTGCAACCTAAATACAGGAATTCAGTGTTTGTTGATTTATCGCCATAATTGAAAAGAAATCTAATAATGTAAGAGTAGTACATTGCTTATAACTGGCAATAAATATACTTAAATTGAAAAGAATAAAACCTACTGCACTGCTGTTAATTGACTTTCCTAAAAATCATTCTGCGAATCTAGCCATAATTAGTATAATTATGTGATATTTATTGGCTGCAATTTATATCTAGTCAGAAATAAATGGTAAACAATTAAAGCAACTTTTCTCAGAGGTCATCAGTCTAATTTAAATTACAAGACTTGCTATATGTCATGTGAACTATTTCTAATTACAATACCCAATTGTTGACTAAGAGAGTGGATTGCTTTTTTGTAATATATAGAAACTTTACTTTTAAATACAACTATATTTAACAAATCATACTGGTGTTGCTTTTTAAGGGAATATATATAATATATAAAAACCTCACAAAACCTAAATAAATATTGATTGTTTTTATAAATGTAGTTTATTCCAGTGCAAAGGGTAAAATAAGAATTATTTTAAATCTGTATAACTAGAATTTTGCAAAATAGCGCACCTTTTCAAGTGATGTTTTGTAGGTTGGGAATTCTGACACACAAGGAAATGTGAAGAATGGCAGAAACACAGGGGCTGGGAGTTACTCAGATCATTGGACTAAAAATTTTGTGTTTTTTATAAGAGACTGTTGCTGCATTTAATACTGAGGGGAATTTTGTGGTTAAAACACTAAATATTACAAATTATTATTATTGATCTAAAGCAAAGATTTAAGATAACCTTTGGTGATAATTCTGACTACTTTCTGTGTTCGTATTTTGCAGTGAGGCCTACAGTAATAGAAACTGATGTTTATGTGAACAGCATTGGACCAGTGGATCCCATAAACATGGTGAGTGACACAAATCCAGAGTCTTTGATGATATGGCTTCATAATAGAATGAATACATGAGCAATTGCTGATAAGCTGATTCTGAATGAATTTGTTACCATATAGTAATATTTCATATTAAATTGGCAATGAGCACAAAAATACCACTTATCTGATAGTTGAACTAATACCCTGCTATTCTAGTGCTGTGTGTTTGATAGGAATATGTTAATGCGTAAATGAATTATCATCTGATCCATCAAAAGGGGATGGATGAAGAAATCTAGAAAAAGGAAAACAGAAGTCTGAGATAGAAAAGGACCTATTGGTAGAAGAGACAGCATTCTCAGAGCCACAGAGAACAGATCCAAGGAAATTTGTTGCTTAAGAAATGTAAATTGTGAGGCGAGGAACTGGGGAGGAAGGAATTGTAAGGAACCTTACTTAGGATGGTCTTGCAACATGCAGCAGGAAATTTAAGTATTGTATGATGTATGAATTATATGTCTTTGGATGGTATAAATGATCAAAAGCTTCTCGTGAGAGGAATGTTTTTTTTAGTACATCACTTTATAATAATATAGA